AACGGGCTGATGAGGTAGCTGAGTCGATTGAGGACACCCTGGATGCTCGCAAAGATGCAGACTTTGCTTGGGAATGGCCAACCACGGCCAAGAGAGGCTGGGACTCCAAGGCAATTCGAAGACTTCTCAACAAGATGAGACAGTTGAATCGGCCAGTCTTTTGGTGCCGTTTCCATGGATGCGCCTACGGGTTGGAGTATAAGCAGATTCCCATCCTCAAGAGCTGGACGGTGCTCACCTCAAATCGAGCACTGTGGATGAGTCTGCAGAAGAAGTGTCCTGGTCATGGTGAACACGCAGAGTGCCGCGGCCCGGCGGCTCAGGCACCACCCTATTACCCGCCAAAGATGATCACGGCGGTGACCAGGGCCATCGCAGGATCTTGGCAAGCCTCGGAGGAGACGTACGGGACAAAGCATCGCCCAGGACATTGAGAAGTACCTCCTCAACCTTCATCCTGAGGAAGATGGAGACCGAGAAGGGCGAGTCTGTCAGGAGATCCGAGAGCAGAGTCCAGAGCTGTTCGCTCTAACCAGGAACAACTTCCCAAAAAAGAACCCACAGGCAGAAAGCTGGAGTTGGTCAAGCAGCAGATGATGCGGATCCATCCGTCATCAGGCCACTCATCCTTCGGGAACCTTCAAAGGTTGCTGAGGGCAAGGAAAGCGCCGGAATGGGCAGTGACCCCAGCCGCAAACATGCAGTGTCCAGACTGCATTGAGTCCTGGAAGCCGCTACTACATCCACCAGCAAGCGCCAAGGATACTCCAGAGCTCTTTGAGGTTGTCGGAGTTGATGTCTTTGAATATGGCAGCGGCGAGGGCAAGCAAAAGGACAAGTTTCTGCTGTGGCGTGACCGAGCGAGTGGCTATGTGATGACGGACCACCTGAGCTGCTACAAGGGCCGTTGGGAGCCTACGGCACAAGATGTCGTGAGGAGTTTTGTGAAATGGTTGATGATCAACCCTGCTCCAAAGTGGATCCTCAGTGACGCTGGACCTCAGTTTACTGCAGAACACTTTCTGGATTTTTGCAGTCGTTCCGGCGTTGGGTGCTGACTGCACCTGCGGAAGCTCATTGGATCCTGGGAGCAGAGGAGGGATGCATCAAGATCCTCAAGGCCTCGGTTGGAAGGCTGATCAAAGAAGAGCCAACGTTGTCAGTGGCACATGCCTTTGCACTGGCAGCCCATGGGGCCAACAACGCAATCGCCAGTGGTTTTTCTGCCTTCCAATGGATCAGAGGAGCGGCCACACCACAAGATCCACTTCCTTCCGGATTGGACCCAAAGCAAGCATTCGGAGGGCTGCTACGACTGAAGGAGAAAGCAAGAATCGCCTATGAGCAAGAACATGCAAAGTACAAGCTCTCCCGTCTGAACAATGCATTGGGGCGATCTCCTCAGTTTTTTTCGATTGGAGCTCTCGTGATGCTGTGGCGGCAGAGGATCAAGCCAGGAAAGACATCCGGCAACTGGACAGGCCCAGTACGAGTTCTTCTACAAGAAAGCAGCACTTTGTGGCTCGCTCATGGAGCAACCTTGATTCGAGCCAAGACGAATCAATGCCGCGAATGCACTCGGCGAGAAGAACTTCAGGCCACGCTGGATAGAGTTGCAATCTACCGGCAACCCGTGACGATGGATAGTCTTCTCAAGAGCTTCACCGGAAAGCGCTACACGAATGTCACTGGCGAAAGCCCATCGAAGGAGCAGATGATGAAGGACCTGGCACCCACTGATGTTCGTCTACTACACCATCCAGGAAAGAGAGAACAACAGGAGGCCAAGAGGCCAAGAGGGCCGCCAGAGGGAAAGACGATGAAAGTCCCGCTGAAGAAGACGACAAGATGAGTTGAGGCCGCAAGAAGAGCAATCTCGGGATGAAGATCCTCCAGAACCACAAGTACCCGAGGAGAAGAAAGTGGCAAATGCTCCAGCGGCCATGACGCCGAGGACCCAGGCGCTAGAGTCAGAGGGGAAACCAATTCCACCGACTCCATTTCTCCAAGGATCAGCCACATGATGATCCAGCTGCGACAGCAGCACAATCTTCGAGTGGAAACTGCTCCACTCCCCAATGCAAGCTCCCAGGAGGACATCATGGACCTCACGAGGATGATGTTGGAAGAAAATTCGCCATGTCCACATCTGGCGGACGAATCAATCTGGATGATGATCCATCTCAACGAGATGAAGATCCAAGTTCATCCAGTTCATCGAGCTCAACCTCTTCATCAGAGGAATTGCGAACGGAGGTGGAAGAAAGGAGGAGGAAAGCCAAGGGACCCCGACGATCCAGAGGGGACAAGAGAAAGGCTGAAGAAGAGCCTGAACAAGGGCAATTTTACGCCCTGGAGATCGAGGTGACGGAAGAAGATTCCACCTACCTGATGAAGCATCCCAGAAAGGCAGGACTGTTCCTGTCAGGGGAGATGCAAGAAAAAGGAAAAGAACACACGTGGCAGGAACTGGACATCGAGCAGAAAAAGGAGCCAAAGAGATGTCCAATGTCTTGCAGTCGAAGGCCTTGCGGTCGCTCACCAAGCAAGAATGGAAGGGCCTCGACAAGAAGAGAGTGATGCAGATGCGCTGGGTGTTAACCACAAAACCCATGCCAGAAGGAGCTGTGGCAAAGGCTCGATTAGTCGTGCTTGGCTTCCAGCAGCACAATTTGACCCAGGTACAAGCGGCAGCACCGACTATGAGCAGGGTTTCAAGAAACATGCTTCTCTGCATGGCCGCAAGCCAGGGATTCAAGCTGCGCTCAGGCGACGTCACGTCTGCCTTTTTGCAGGCAAAGAAGTCGCTAGAGCATGAAGATTTGGTGGTATGGGCTCCACCAGAGCTAGCTGTGTTGTACGGCGCCAATCCACGAGACCCAGTCATGCCCCTCAAGGTGGTGAAGGCTTTCTGAAGGCTTTCTATGGCCTTGTCCATGCACCCAGAGCATGGTACGATGAAGTCTCAACCACGCTTCAGGCGCAAGGATGGAACAAGCTGGTCTCAGATGGCTGCATCTTCACTTTGAAGGACGGGCCGCATGTGGTGGGCTGGATTGGGGTGCACGTAGATGATTTTCTACTAGCAGGCCAAGATGGAAATGAGGTCTTTGACAAGGCCAGGAGTGACCTAGAGAAGGCCTACAGATGGGGGCGATGGGATGAGGGCGAATTCACTTTCACCGGCTGCCAAATCACCCAGAAGGACAAGGAGATCAGGATCGGGCAATCCGACTACGTCGAAAGCAGGGTGGATGAAATAGAGCTGACGAAGGAGAGGGCAGCACAGAAGAAAGCCGCAGCAACTCCCAGTGACTACTTCTTTCCGAAGTGCCCTATGCCACAGTGGACACGCTGGTCCGCACCAACAAGTTGGTCCGCGAGGTGCGCATGGCTCCACAGACGATGGTGTTTCCCCACTGGAACGTGAAGTGGGAGGAGCTGGCGACAGTGGTATGGGCCGATGCCTCCAATTCCAACCGCCCGGACAAGAGCTCCACCATGAGCATAGTGGGTGGCTGTGCAACTCAGTCCATCCTTGATGGATCTTCCCAGCAGGTGGCTCTCATCACCTGGAGGTCACAGAAGACTCCTCGACAAGTCCTAGGAAGCAACGGAGCGGAGGTGCAGGCAATCACCGAAGGCGAAGACCTATGCTTTAGGTTGAGGGCCCTGATGGCGGAGATGAATGGAGAGGCGATCACTCGCCACAATCTTCATGAGATGGTCAAGAAGAAGACCAAAGGGGCCGTGATCATGGATTCCAGGGGGATCTATGACGCGATGGTTCGAAATGTGAGCTCGCTGCATGGGCTTTGATCTGGAAGGCCCGGATATGAGCCGGCAATCTCGGTCGCGCAGGCCATTGAGATTGGCACAAGCCTGAGGTGGGTCAACGGTGACCGTCAGCTTGCAGACCCGTTGACGAAGGGCGGCGCAGCAAAGAAGCTGATGATGCAGTTCCTGGCAAATGGGCAGTGGTGGACATTGATCCACGACCCGCTGTTCGTGTCTGGCCGAAACATGAAGAAGAGGGCACTCCAGGAGGCGATGCAAAAGACGTTCACGGAAGCGGTTCACCTTTTGGCGGTAAAGAACCGCTGGCCGTGGCCCTTGAACGAGGGCATGACCTTGGAAGTATGGGGGATGAAAGCGCCCATGAGACCACCAAACCATGGAAGGACATGTACACGTAAGGTCATGCTGTCCGCAGTTCGAGGGTGGGCTCGAGAACTCGTTCGCTTAGCGGAAACAGGCGCTTGAGGTGCGCTGTTTGCTAGTTACCGTTCGGTGGTAAACTCGTTGTGCAATAATGCAATATCACCCGGCCGGCGTAACCGGGATCGCGATCGTTTGGCCCAAAACGATACCCATCTTTATCAATCTTCAAGCAGCACGGAAAGCATAGGATTTCGTGCCTCTGATGAGGGCCGCCCCAAGCTAACGCTTAGGATTAATCCTCCAGTTTTTATCGAGCCTCCACAAAGCCTCGGCACCTTCGGCGCGGGCGGATTTTCGTGCTCACTAAGCCTGCGCACCACAAAGTCAACGAACAGTCCATCGAATCAATGTTTGTGACACAAAAAAGTCAACGCTTCAGACCTAACTCAGAATCGAAGGAGAAAGGTGTTTGAAGATGCTACAGGCGCTTGAGAGAAAATGACAACGTCTGGTTTAAGCCGCTTATAAAGATGATGGCAGGCGACAATGGCAGGCGTCCAGCACACAAACTCTCACACCCCTTGGCATCAATGTGCTGCCGGTGCCTTCCAAAGCAACAAGTTCCAGAAGCAACAAGTTCCAGCGCAAGGGTGAGAGACCGGAAACCTGGAAAGACACATGGAAAGGGGTTGACAGATATTGGCCATAGACAATTCCTTGTGTGTGACCTATCATGTCGGTTTTGACCGTAGTGTGTGCACATGCTTCTCAGCATCGACCCCTGCATTGTGTCACATTAGATTCTCAGTTCTTTCGGTTTACTCCAGTGTCTCGGCAAGGTGGTGCCAGAAGTCTTCCTATCACTCTGTGGACGTCGGGTGTTGGTGATGGAATTTGTGCCGGCCTGAGTGAAGGGCTGGGGTTTCAGTGCTTTGTTTTCAGCAGTTGCCAGACGAAAACAAGTCTTCGATGTAAGCGCTTAAGGTGTCATGAAAGACTACATGCCTTTTTCGGACATGTCTGGCGGATGGAAGAGGGAAGAGCGATAGAGCTCGTTGAGGTGGAAGGTCATCAAGTCGCCGCAGGGGATGCATCCCTGACTCCTGACGAGCGGTTGGAGGTAGTGTGTGACTTTATCCTTGTTGTGCACCCACACAAGCACAGGTCTGGATTCGGGTGGTAGATGGGTCGAATAAAGTTGACGGGGCAGGTCATGACTTCACTGGTCAAGGCCTATGCGCACGGCTTATTTGTGTCTGGTCACTTTAATGGCGATCCTCATGCGCCCTTGCTCAAAGAGTCTGCGTGTAAAGGATTGTTACTTCGTTTCAGTTTCCACGTGACCAGTGACCAGTGGCGAGAAAATCATAAGGCAGGCAATCTTTTGGTCACACGTCGGCACGGCAAGGCGGGAATGGACGGGATTCTTCGGGCTTGGAATATGGGGAATGAATGGCGGGAATCAGTGGCATGCCCAAAGCATTGAATGTACTTCCTGTTTTTCACCAGATAGCGAGAGCTATTAGGGTTCTTCCTTCAAGTATAGGAGGAGGTGCCTGTGTGCGCTTTGCTGGTGCCGGTGCAGGGTGGGTGCTGCTGCAAGCGTACGAGTGGCTGTTTGCGCCTTGAGCCTGTGCGGTGGTGCCGCTCGAGAGGTGCCGCTGCAGGTTGCTGCTGCCAGATGTCTATTTCAGCTTGAGTTTTGGAGCGTGCGTGTTGGTGTGTCGCTGCAGGGCAGTGCAGGGCGGCGCTCCCAAATGTTTATGGCAGTGTGTCAGCTGGAGTGTGGGTGCCGGTGTCATGACTGTCATGCTGCCCACAAAAATGTTTGCCACACGTATCTTCTGCTATCCAGGGTCTACGCTGGCGTAAACTTAGGAGAAGGTAGTGGTAGTAAGGAGAACCGGGTCATTTTTCATCCGCTACTAGTAACAAGGGCATCGCTGTTTCTAGTAACGAGGGCATCGCTACTGCTAGTAACAAGGGCATCGGCATAGCTATTACTAGTAACAAGGGCATTGCTACTACTAGCAACAAGGGCATCGCTACTACTAGTAACAAGGGCATCGCTACTACTAGTAACAAGGGTATTACTACCAGTAAACAAGGGCATCGCTATCAGTAACAAGGGCATCGCTACTAGTGACAAGGGCATCGCTACTAGTATCAAGGGCACCGCTACTAGTTACAAGGGCATCACTGCTAGTAACCAGGGCACCGTTATTAGCAGCAAAGACATTAAGACTAGTAACAATGGTTCTTCGTGGAGCTATCCTTTTGAGCCCGATGTGTTAACTGCAATGGGCGTGTGTCTTGCAGGCAAAATGCGTTTTGCTGGACTGGGGGCTAACAAAGCAGCTGAGTGATCAACGGCGCTTGGCGGCTTGTAGCTTCCGCTCAATATTTGAATTCAAGCACAGTTACAGTAAGTGACAGTTGTTTTGGGGGGCGTCCCGTGCTAACTGTGCTTTTTGTCTCATTTTGCAACAAAACCTGAGTGCCACATTCAGTACTGGTCCAGCAGGCAACACCTCGCTTCCATTCCAGTGATGTCATTGAACAAGGCTTTTGTGAATTGAGAGGAGCAAGGCTGCAGGAACATGTGTATTGCTATCCGAGGCAAGCTGATTGTTTCGGTGGGCATGAAGGCCCGGATCGGGAAAGTGAAGCAAAGCCGACTTTCTCAGCATTCTGGTCATTTATATAGATGTTGACAGCTCCTGTGGCCATCTAGGACACCAACGGGATTGTGGAAGCATTCAGGGAGATGGGCAACGAGGTTGCAATAGTCGGGAAATATAGTGAGCCAGTCTCTCTCCAACAAGCATGCCCACATGCACGACACATGGGACTAAAGTGTGGGCCCGCTTGACTTGATTCGTCCTTGCAGTTTTTGGCTAGCCGCATTAGAGCACAGCACTAGAAATAAATGCATACGGCGAGAGTGCTGTTTCTTGCAGAGACACTTTCTCCTTGGCATATCTCAGGCATGAACTTTTCTGCCAACGCTGACCCGGAACCAGAACTACTGTTGGCAATTCTGCGGCAGATCAGCCTGATTGAGAACAAACAGGAGTCCCGCAGGACAGACTTGCACACTGGTGAGCTTAAATGTGGCGGTGGTGTGAGTATTGATTGAGGTAGGCTTAAGAAAGTCCAAAATATTAAAGTATGGTTGATGGTCGCTGCCTGTTGACAGTATTGAGGATCATCATTGCTTGCTTGCGACCTCGGCCTTGCAAAGGATGCAAGCCAAATTTGGGGAGACCATGCAGAAAGCCATGTCGCACAAGATGGAGCTCCACACCAAGGTGCCTCCTATAGGACTTCCAAGTAGGGTAATTGATCAACTTCTTTCGCATTCATCATTTGGTATTCACGGCAAGCACTTGCAAGCAACACTTCAGGTTCTGTTTGCTTACATCCTGAGGTTGACAGCTACACCGGGGATTTCTTCTTTATTTTCAGAGTTGCCTCTTTGATCAAGGGGTTGGCAACAGTGCTTGACATCAAAGCACAGCTGCTTGGCCCCGTTCCAAAGCGGATCGTTCCAACGCGGATCGCGCAAATTGTATCAAATTGTGTGTTTCCACTAGTGACACTAGTGGCAAAAGGCAGTTGATCCTGACTTCACCATGGGAAACCTTACTACATCACAAACCACGACTACACTTCATCACATCACTAGCCACCACGTTACACGTTCACAGAGCCACACTTCACCTTTTCTGCGCCATACTTCACACATAATCAATCACCACACTACAATTAGAGTCTTGACATCCTACAAGCCGGTTTCAAGAGGGCTTTGCACCAGACCTACAAGAGAGGGAACTGTGCCCACTTGCAGCAGCGGTGGTGCAAGCATATCTCAGAACTGTTCACGTCACAACAACGAACCGACGAATCGTCGAATACACTGTACACTTCGCCACATCACAAACGTCACGCGACCCTTCATGATTGGACAAGTCTTCACCCGTTTCGCCGCCAGGTTGTCACATACAGAGGAGCCAGCGGGGAAATTAATACAGCAAACACCAACAGAAACGAACACTCAGTGTCCAATGGTGAGTGGAAAACGGGGACCACCTCTCTGCATCAACACAGCCATTGCCGTAAAGGAATGGCTGGCACGCCCATCATAAATCAAGATAAGAACGCGTGCATGCACACGCAAGACACTGACACGCGTGCAAGTGGTTTGTTTGGCATTGTGATTTTCTTTCACACAAGACGCGAACCTTTTTCGTCGTGGATGTGAGCCTGCAGGTGCAGAGAGCTCAACAATCCACATTGTGAGCAACTGTATTGAGCTTTGTCGACGATCATATAGAGTCAGCTCCTTCATGCCCAGAGGGTTCCACACCGGCCATTTTTCCGGATAAAGATTGAAACTCCGGGTGTAAAGAGGCATGCTGATGACTGTGCAGGGGATACTACGGAGTGGAGTACAGTGGAATATGTAGAATGCATTGATCGTTGACACCTCAGAATCGGCAAACAAACGAACTCAGCATCAGCGAACGAACGAACCTCAGAATCGGCAATCGAACATGACCTGCCCAGCTTAGGGCACCTATAAGTAGGAAAGCCAACATGGCAGCATGCTTTGCTTGCATTGTTGATTGTCTGAAGGGAAACTTGTGGCAAGCAAACAGCAATAGACATAAGAGAAAGCAACGGCTGACATAATGCGGTTCCATGTCCACGCGCAACATTAAGATCTAGGCGGGGTTGAGTGCTCATTCTTACTGCAAAACTTGCAGCTGAATATGAATAAGTAGATTGAATAAGGCAGGTCATTCATCCTGAGGATATCGACCTTCCGTGGTCGTCGTTTCCTTGTGCACAGGTCAGCTTTTGTGTGTGCACGCAGGAGGTATGTAGGGTCGAAAAGCACATTCTGAAGCAGTGATTCAAAGGCAGTCTGCCTATACACACATACATACATACATACATACATGCATACATACATGGCTCAAGTGGTCCAAGCCGGTCCCATACAAATCCGGATACAGGCAAAACGCCATAGACATCCGGGACTTCGTGCACAGCGCTGGACTCCTTTGCCCGTGATCACACGTGTCCACCAACCCCGCTCTTGAAGAGCTCTTTGGTGGCTGGCAGGGTCTCGCGCAGGACATCACTCAGGGCAACCTGCTGAACTTGCTCTACCTTCTCCTTCCTCTTTGGGGATTTTGACATCTACCACTTTGCCCGTGATCCCTACGTGACAAAGAACCTTCCAAGCCAGAACCTTCCAAGGCAACCTTGCACTATGGCTCTTATGACCTCCTGGTGCAGAAGCTACACTGTTTGCGCCCACAAGCAGTGCCACAACTGTATTTGGGATGACAAGAAAAATCCAGGCACACGCTGCAGGAAATGCGGAACATTGTGGCAGCAAGGAACCTCCCCTACAGGAAAAGGAAAAGGCCAAGGCCATGGCAATGGAAGCAAGATGTACCTCAATGCAGCCTGGCCCAAGAAGAACGTGAACGAAGACCTCATGGACCACCCACCAGGTTTGAACAAGTTCAAGCCTTTAAAGAAGAATAAGACTCAGCAGCAGAACTCCTGGCAACCACCTGGGAAGTGATACCAAGTGACATCCAAGGCAAACTACAAGCGCTTGGATTGGGACCACCTCAACCAGAAGAACCAGGTCTAGCAGAACTTTTGCAGACACACCTCAATGCTTTACCACAAGCAGTCCAGGATGTGGTCAACAAACTCAATCAGCCAATCCCGGATACAGAAGAAGGGCTGGCCCAGAAGCTCAAGACACAAGTTACGGAGCTCAAGACCATCTCTATGAAGAAGGCACAGCTACAAACAAAGCTGGACCAGATCAAGAGTCAATACGCCTCCATGCATGTTGCAGGACATGCAAGAGCACCAAATCAGGCTCAACGAGGGGCAAAAGAAGCTCAAGACTTTGTCTGAGCAGTACACGCAAGCAGTCAACAAGACACCTATGCCAGCTGAACTGGGACCTCAAGAGGACCAAGAACTGCCAATCCCAATGGCGGTGGAAACCTTTGTTACAAGCCTAGGCATTGACCTCACTGATGAGCAGCGCAGCCAGCTACATGGCCTACTCAAACGGCCAGTGCAGGAGGCAGAAGGCCCCAGCAAGCGCAGAAAAACAGAGACCACTGCTCCACTGCCGCCGGGAGGGCAGTGTGGGTAACAACGCCCACTCACTCCAAGGGTTTCAAGGGATCCAGGTGCCGGTACCCCTTGACGACTTCGATCAGGCACCACCAACCAATTCGGTTTGCCGCGCTGCCTCAAGATCAGCGCAGGCGGGGGAACAGCAAATGACACACTGTGCAAGGGGAAGACACAGCAGCGTTTGCAGAACCTTTTTCAAGTACCAGCTACTTTTGGGGACACCTCACACAGGAGTGCAGGGGCACACACTCTTGAATTTGAGGACATACATACTCCACAACCACAGGAGAAACCGTTTGAGCAACTCTCCAGTGCCTCGGCCGTTGATGGACCACTCCCTGGAGCACCTGGCCCTGATCTTCATAGTGAGCACAAGCCCAATTAGCAGGTGCTCCAATGCAAGGCACCTTTGCATCCACCACGGAACGCATACTTCAGAATCTCACCATGACAGTTGGGAATCCCAGCGCCAGATGCTATGCCAATGCACCCTGGCGTGCGTTCACCTGGACATGCGCCCTGCTTCAGGAGACCAACGCTCAACCTTGGGTCTCTGGAGCTTGCTGAAGCTGTGGATATCCATCAGTTGCCTGGCCTGCAACCCTTGTGGAAGAAGCGCAACCTCAACATCCAAGGAGACGCCAACCATTTTGTCAATACTCTTTGGAACCTTTCTCAAACGCGAGCTTTCCACTACAGGTTTGCAGAGATCCAAGAAGGTGGGTTTTTGAGATCACATCCAACAGCCAATCCTGGTTCCCTACCCTGACGATTGGCCGGACAATACAATACAAGCCTTCAGGACCTATTCAATGGATGGGCCAACACAGGTTTGGGTCAATATCTACTTGATGACAAGCCGGTCTTGATCGGTTACATCACCAGGAATACCTGTGTGGAAGGAGTCATGACCAAGCACACCAAGATCCTCAATCCCTGTGGCACCTTTGCAGTGCCCCGCTCCCTGGATGGTTTTGCTCGAGCATCCTCAGAGTTCGTACCGGCAGCGCTCATCTGTCACAGAGGACCCAGCCACAATACAGGCCACTATTTCGCCATCTTCATCTACAGAGACCTCATGTGGATTGCTGATGACGGCAAACCGCCAATCCACTTGGACCATCTCACGCCACAACTGGCCAGTCAGGTCACCCAAATCTGGGCGGTCCACATCGACACGTTCAGAACCATCCAAGCCCGGAAAAGAGACCATGCCTGGAGCAGACTCACAACCAGCTGCACTTTGCCAACGTCACCAACTTTGGCAAACAAGTTCTTGACTGGTTTTGGTCACGGCAAAGCGAGGTGTACATCTTGGTTGAGACGCATCTCGATCCACAGAAGCATCAACAGACCTGCCAATACTTCACCATCAGAGGCAGATCTGCCTTTGGAACCCCAGCCTCGATCAATGATGACAACGCGGGCACACATGGAGGCATCCTGGTCCTTGGGGATCAGTCCTGCGGCCTTACTCCACTTGGGGCTTTCACCTTTCAAGGCTGTGGGTATCAAGCCTTTTTATGGCAGGCCACTGAATGCACTATCTTGGTTGCAGGAGTCTACTTGAAGACGGGCGAAAAACATCCAGAATGAGACCAATGCCACGATCCTCGCCAAACTCCTTGCACTCATTGAGGCGACCACTCATCCCTATGCCCTTCTCGGGGATTGGCAGAACAGTGCAGGAAGCATTACCAGCACAGTGCTTCCATCCAAGTTCCACTTTGAAGTTCTAGCCCCGGACCATAGCATTCTCTCTGGCAATGTGATAGATTATGCCCTGATGCACAATAGCTGGTGCCACAGCACTCACCACGGACTGGGCGGTCCCATGGAGGCCACATGCCCTCCTGACGCTCCACCTCAACATCAAAGTAGCCACCAAAGAGTACAGGCAAATCCAATACTTCCCACCACTGCCAGCCACACCAGACATCGATTTCCGGCCATGGACTACGTACCAATCTCGGGCTTTTGAAGTTGAGTTGTACGGCAATCCACCCAATTCTCTGGCTCAAAAGTGGGCAGTGGGCGGCCCAAGGCAGAGGAGCTAACCTCCAAGTGGTCGTCAAACCGTTGGTTTCCACAAAGACCACTACCACATGGAAGAAAGGAACGCCGGCATACTGGGAGCAGCTCAAGATCAGATTCCAGCTGGCCGTTAAGCAGCCACAAACTTCGACCACAGGACCCACCAGAGGCTTCATGCACCCTCCAGGACGCTTCCAAACACTGGATGGGACCACCCACGTGGGGCCAATTCCTTGATACGTGTCACCACTGGCACAAATACAGGGATCCTCATGCCGCTGACCTCGTCCAACACACAATTGGAC